ATGGCCTTCCTCAACCTCCTGCAGACATTTTTAGTTATTCTCTTTATTCCTAGGGTTGTGCAATTTTGTGAATATGTAAGTTTTTTTAAAAAAATTATTGTGCTCAGTATGGGTACTTCATGGGACCTTTCAAGCTTTAAAAATGACAGCATTAGAATAATATTTCTTTTTCTTCCTCTCTTTTAGAATTTTCTTTTTCTCTTTCAGAAATTCTGTGATTCAGATATTAGAGCTCCTGAAATAAGTGATTGATTCCTTAATTTTCATGTTAATTCTTCCCTATTTTCCATCTTATTTTTTTGGTTTACGTTTGGGAGATTTATTTCCAACTCTTAGATATTTATCTTCCAATCATTCTATTTCAGTTATAGGTTTCTCCTATGATACTGTCAATATACAATTCTTATTTTTAGTCTTTGAATTTCATTTTAACATAATTTTATTCTTCTTTCATGAATGATATAACTCACTAACTCACTTTTCCCTCCGAAGATATTAGTTATGAATTTTTGGAAGTTTATTAAAAAATGTTGATTACTTTTATATTTGGTTTATATATTTGTATTTCATATTGCAGGCTTTTATCATGATCCATGAATGTTTATTCACATTTGAGGATTAGGCTCTAAAAGCTGATCAGAAATCTCTAAATATATGGATGGGGACTTGCTTGCATGGTGGGAAATTGAGCAGGGAGCCTCTAGTTTCATTAGATATGCCCCAGATATGAGTATCTGTACGTCCTTTTTCCATTTCATTTCTCCAAAAAAAAATTTCCCCAATATCCTGAATGAGGTCAGTGCATGGATTCCTGGATACTGCCAGCATTTTAGGCATACCTCTCCAGGCTTTTGCACTTGCTGTTCCTTTGCCTAGAATGGTTTTCTAAATATCCATCTGACTTGCTCTTATGCCTCCTTCATCTTTACTAGAATTTCCTCTTATTAGTGAGGCTTTCATTGGCTACTCAACTTAAAATTAACTCCCAATCTTTGACACACACTCTTTATCCCCTTTGTCTGCTTAAAGTTTCTTCTTCGTGTTGTCTAGTATCATATATATTTTAGTTATATTTGGTTATATTTTTTATTAACTGTTTACCTCTGATGAAATAAAAGTTTCATGAGAGCAGGTGTTTTTATCTGTTTTGCTGACTGTTACATCTCTCGAATCTAGAATAGTAACTGGTAGATAATAAAGTTTCGATAAAATTTGCTGATTATTCATTTAATATATATTACATTTATCCAGTATTAAGCATTTATATTATCATTGGTGATTTTCTTATCACTTTTATGCTTAGAAAGTTGTTTTCTGTCTATATAGTTACTTACATTTTCTTTCAATTATGTTATGTTTCCAACATTATACTCTATTTTGTGAACCTTCTGAAATTAATTTTGGAAGAGGTTGTTCTCCTTTCTTCTTTTCTTCCTTGCTTTCTCTTTTCTTTTTACTAATTTATTAATTTTCCCTATCCATTTATTTTTTGAAAAACAATCTCTGTTCCTAAAGTGTCTGGGCGATTTTATTTTTAGTGAGGTTATAGTTACTACTGCAATCTTTACACAAAGCTTTATGTAGAGCTCTATTTGAAGCTTGGTTTCATGATTCTCTAACAGGTAAAAAATATGGATATACCAATTACAAATGGCCTGGCCAGCATGGCTCAATGGTTGAGCTTCAACCTATGAACCAGGAGGTCATGGTTCGATTCCGGGGCAGGGCACAAGCCTGGGTTGCAGGCTTGATCCCCACTAGGGTATGTGCAGGAGGCAGCCGATCAATGATTCTCTCTCATCATTGATGTTTTTCTCTCTCCCTTCCTCTCTGATATCAATCAATAAAAATATATTTTAAAATTACAAATGTGTTTCTTTGTGGTGCTCTACAGTCTTGTCAGACTATTTTTTCTAATATACACCATGTTAAAAAAAATGCTGAATTATATGAAGTTAACCCTGTTGTCCAATTTCTGAGATGAATATTTGTTTTCTCTTAAAAATCTAAAATGTAGTTATAATTTTGTATAGTGTCATAGGACTAATGATGCCATAGAAATATAGACATATATTGTAGTTTTAGTAATTGAAATGAAGGCTTATATTCCTATCCTTCCTTTTGTTTTTCTCTCTTTAAGGTTCATAATAGCCCTAAGTGCCTTGGTTCAGTGTATTATTGTTACCGATCGATCAGTTTGTTCTTTTCAGACCAACAGGAAATTCGAATTTATGGGCATGAAATAAAAAAGAATGGAATCAGGTAAGATGGAATAAATGATGTAATGAAAATAACACATGGACAAAGAGCACTTCCAAACACCTCACATTGAAAGTGAATTGTGGAGCAGGAAGAATTTCTTTTCAACAATAACCTTTAAGTTATATCATAGTTACCAGAACTTAGGTAGGCTCCAAGGGCAGCCAGGTGGCCAGGAATCTAGCCATTGTAACCTCCCTAATGCTTATGTAGGATATAAATATGTTTACATAGGTGGAGAAAAGATGATCATATATTTTTCTAAGAGACTCGAGAGATATCTTCATAGTTGAAGTGTTCAATCATTTTTGGCCTCTATCTTTCTTCGTTCTTTTTTTATTTTTAAAGCAGAAACTTTAAATAAAACCAAATCTCTGCAAGTCCTTTCCAAATTTATGTGAATGAAGTTTGGGTGTCACTTGAGTTTTTCCTTTAGTGTTCTGACAAAGATTCAGAGTCAATATGTAACCGGCCTTCTTGAATAGATCAGAGAGGGGGCCACTATGGTTTTCTGTCTGCCAAAAATAATATCTGAGGGATTTAGGTAAAGAGATATTTACTTATTAAGTCGGTGGAAGGTTTTATACATTTTAAACTAGGAATACTGTGAAATAATCTGCCTTCCAATCTAAATGATTATAGAGATATTTAGTCTTAACTATCTCTTGGCTGAGGTATGCCAGCAAAAGGAAATTACCACATGGAACAATGCTATCCATCCTTCAGAATTCACTAGTAAGTGTTTGAACCAGAGGGATTCTTTCCAGTGCCATGGCCTGGCCAACCTAGGTGTTTTTCTCAGTTTAGATTCCTTAGAGTCAACAGATGGTACAGAAAGGACTTTGGATGAAGGACCAGGGGAGCCAGGCACTCGGTAGTAGCCTGTCTCTCTGGGTTTATTTTCTTGATCAGTTGGGTTCTGTACTTCTAATTATCTTATAAAAGAAACAGCCATTTGAATGGGAAGATAACACACTACATATGTATTTCCTGGAACCAAATTTAAATAGAAATTTAGAATTCCCTGTATGGGATTTTAGGTAACATAATTGACACTTTAAAAAATTATGTTTTATAAAGCAGAAATGGCATTCAAGGAGATTTTCAAGAATACTAACTCTTTGTTAATTCAAAGATATAATATTTAAGTTTTAACTCAGAGATGTTATGTCGTATGATAGAAAAAGGATGGCTTTCTTATTAACCAACTAACTTGCTTATACTAACGCTGTATCTGGCCTAGGGCCTAACTCATAGCAGGTGTTAGAGAAATGTTTGCCAAAATGAAATCAAATACGTGAGGCTCTGCACATCACGTCTCACCTCTCTGGACTTCTGTTCTCTCACCTGTGCATATGAATCTGTAAATAATTTTTAGCATTAATCAGTGCATTCATTTTAGTTTACATTGTTAATGTTTCTTGCCGAGGTTGGAGTTTTTCTTAGATTTCTGGGAGATTATCTAATTTTTCCTATTATCCCCCTCACTACTAACATCCTTTTATGTTATAGACATCAGAACGATCACATACATCTTTTATTTTAAAAAACAGTTTATCTAATCAATTTACTATGAAAGAGATAAATGACAAATGACCAAACCAAAAACTACCCACGACAAAACAACTATACCTCTATAAAATCAATATTCCATTGCTATAAAATATTTTTATAAAATGATTCACTTTTTTATGTATACCTTTTATAAACTAGTAAATTTAATATTATTCATAATGAATCTTACTATGCATTTAATATGAATTCCTCATGTTTATAATTTTAAATATTAACAGATTATGGAAGCAATTAGCTAAAGTCTTTTTATTTATTTTCCAAAGTAAATTTTTAGTTATTTTCCTATTCTTTTGACTAATGATCTGTAAAAATTTATATGCAGACATCTTTGGGAAAATGGATAGATATTTTGAATTATTTCTTTGTGGGCTATCCCTTTGTTAATGAGTCTGTCTAGTTTTATAGTTTTTGTATCATGTAGCCATTCTTTTCCTGAAAAGGAACCCAGTAATTAGAAGTTTTGAGAGAAATGTGTAAATACAGTGGGGCCTTGACATGAAAAGACTAGACGTTGGATCAGGAATTTAAATATTCAATGTGACCCTTATGTAAATAGCCCCAATTTTATGCCTTTTAAAAATTATGAATATAAAAACTGTGGTACATCTACACAATGGAATACTATGCTGCTGTAAAAAGGAAGGAATTCTTACCATTTGCAACAGCATGGATGGAACTGGAGAGCAATATGCTAAGTGAAATAAGCCAGTCAATGAAAGAAAAATAACACATGATCTCACTCATTTATGGATAATAAGGACCATTGTAAACTGATGAACAAAAATAGATACAGAGGCAGAGCAGCCTCCAAACAGACTGTCAAACTACAGCCGGAAGGCTGGGGGGAGTTGGGGGACAGGAAGTGGGGGTAAGAGATCAGGAAGGACTTGTATGCATGCATATAAGCATAACCAATGGACATAAGACACTGAGGGGGTAGGGGAGGCTGGGAGATTGTCAAAGGGGGGGGGAAGGAGACATGTAATGCTCTTTGTAATACTTTAAGCAATAATAAAATTAATTACAAAAAAAATAAAATACATGTAAATAGAAAAAAAATATGAATATAACCTGTACGCCCCGCCCCCACCCCCACCCTTAATTGCTGCCATTCGGAGGGGATTAGCCCCCAGTAGCCAGCCCGGCCCCACCCACCCCCACCACCTCTACCCGAAGTCCCGGCGGTGGTAAGAGTCGGGGTCACAGTATTTAGTGACAACCACTCTGTTGGCGAACTTGCGACCTGTCAGGCCCTGCATGGCTTTCTGGCAGTCACACACAGAGGCGAACTCCACGAAGACCTTCCCGCAGCCGGGCACCTCGACGCCGTCCACGGGCCGGGGGATCTGGATGGACTTGACCAGCCCGTGCTTGCTGCACTCGTCCCGCACGTCCTCCACGATCTCCTCGTACTCCTCGTCGTCCAGCAGCTCCTCGGGCAGCACCGTGTTCAGGAGGCACAGGACCTCCGTGGGCTGGCCGCCCATCTGCACCTGGGAGCTCAGCAGGCCGGGCACTTGCAGGATCACGGGGGTCTGGAGGATGGTGCTCGGCGTGGCATTCTTGGCGCCCACACTCGCCCTCTGCACCTGCAGCGTCCTGTCCCCCAGCTGCATCCCGTGCAGCCCCGCAATGGCCTGATCCGTGACGCTGATGTCCACGTACTCACAGAAGGCATAGCCCTTGGAGAGCCCGGTGGCGCCGTCCTTGACCATGTGGAAGCCCTTGAGAGGCCCGAACGACGTGAGCAGCTCTTTCACCTGGTCCTCGTGCAGGTGGTTGGGCAAGCCCCCGACGAACAGCTTGTGGGCAGAGTCCGGGACCACGGTGGACACCACGCCAGGCAGGTAGACAGAGGGGTTCTCCGACAGGCCGGGCAGGGGCTGGTAGTCGTGGGGCCGGCGGATCTTCAGCGACTGGCCCTGGAAGATGATGCCGTCGAAGGCCATGGCCTGGGTGGTCTCGTCCACGGAGCGGAACTCCACGAAGGCAAAGCTCTTGTCCTGGTTGATCTGCACGGCCAGGACGGGGTGGCCCGGGGCCTGCGTCAGCCCGCCCAGGCGCATCTGGGCGTTGAAGAAGTCCACCATGGCCTCCTCGGTGAGGCCGAAGGGGATGTTGCCCACGTAGAGGCGCCGGGCCTGCCGGGTCAGCTGGCTCCCCACCGCAGGCACCGGCGTCGGGGTCACAGCCAGACCGCCCGGGGTGGTGGTGGGGAGGAGGGCGGTGGCTGGAATCTGACCCGCAGCCTGCATGGCTTTGTACTCCATGGGCGTGATGTGCTCAAAAGCCGGGCGGCGGCACGTCCCAGTATTTGCGGACCTTCCTCTTCTCATGGCGCGGGGAGCGAATCAATCGACCCCGCTCCTCTTTAGCGCCTCTGGTCAAGGGTTTGCTTCGTCGCCAACGGTCCCGGGATGCGCTCCGCTGGTCCCGGTTGCGCCTGTCGCGGCTCCGGCTGCGGCGCTTGCGGTCCCGGCTGCGTGAGCGGCTGTGGCTGCGCTTGCGGCGCCGGTTCTCCTTGTCTCGCTCTTGCTTATTCTCCATGAGCTGCTGCTCGAACTCGTGGAAGTCCGACATGCTGAGGCTGCTGCGTAAGGGCCCTGTGCAGCGCTCACCTCGCCTTGCCGCCCGCCCGCTCTAGCCGCTCGCTCCAGGCAGGTCCAGGGGTTCCCAAAGGTGAAGAATGAAGGACACGGAGACAGTGGTCAGTTGATCAGCATAGAGAGGTTCTCTTGCCGCGTTCTCTCGCCAGAATCTCCAGACAAGTCCTGTCTTTATTCTCGTGTTACATCTGTACTTATACCAGTTGATTTTAATCCTATTTATTCAAATCCAAAGGTTAGGGCGTTTCTTATCTCCATTCCAAGGTTACTCTATTGTTCTATTAAACTCCAAGGAAGTAACTGAAGGAGATTATCCTAAATAAAGATTATGTAGCTTAAGCGTGATTGTTCGTAGTTAAGGTGATTAACTACCCGCCTGGCACTTTAGTTAAGGGGATTTACTGATTTATTCCCTTCCTTAGTCTTAAACAACCTTTCTCGGATAGGTGACCTTGGTTAAAACACATAGCGCTAAGAAGGGGAGCAAACATATTAAGAACAGTATGCCATATACGCCAGGTCCCTTGAAACATAAGCTGTGCAGATGTTTCTTCTCTGTGTCAAGCAGCAAGGGTGGACCGGCTTCCGGCAAATTCCCCCATTTTTATTTTTTAAATGACAGCACGTGTAAATCAGCAGCCACCTCTCAGATTAGGTTGTTTAAGGCTCGGAGGAAGACTTGTTTGTGACTTTGCCAACAGGTCAGTCGAGGCTTAACCCTATATCGGCTCCTCACATGTTTGTACTTCAAAATTTTGAACAACACTTTTTAAAAAATCTTTAACAATCTAGATAAAAAATACATTAAGCTCATTATTCAAAGTAGACATAGTTATTTTCCAGATTATAAAAATCAGTGGTTGAAAGAATCATCCAATTATAAGTATAAAATTGGATGATTTAGAGGAAAAAATCTAAATCATCATGGAGAAACGGATATAATTTTTGTTGTCTTTTTATTTCAATATTGAATTTTTCAAAACACAAGATTTTCTACAGGATGGTTGCTTGGTAAATCTAACTGCATAGTTTATTCAATAATTTTGAATAATAACTATGTTTTTCTTAATTGTCTGTTACTATGAAAAGAATGACCTATAATTGGTTCTTCATTATAATTAAATTGCCTTTGTTCCATTTTTCAAGTTTAACATTGCCTCAGACAATTGGACAGGTTTCTGTTGAGAAACTAGCGGACTACATTCTGGTGAAAACAACCTTTGGCTTTTCATTGGCTTGGGATGGAATATCTGGAATTTACCTCAAAATTTCTGAGGAGCTTAAAGGGAAATCATGTGGCCTATGTGGAAACTACAATGGCATTCAATCTGATGATTTCATCATTCAACAAGGTAAGGAGAGCACAATAAATGTGCGGATACTTCTGAGGTCTTTCTCCTTCACCAGTCAAGCTGTTTGTGCCCAGAAGGGTACAACTTGTCCTAGGTTGGGTAAAATTAGTAGCTATAACTTGTCTGTTTTAGAAATTTTAAGTGCAGTTTGAATGGAAAAAAAAATATTTGTGTCATGCTTGAAAACCATTATTTATTTTATATTTGCAAAATTAAGATACAGGACTTACTCATGTAACAAATATTAATTGAGCATGTACTTCATGTCAGGCACTGTTGTAAGAGCTTGGAATGCATCAGTGAATAAAACAAAGACTCCTTCCTTTTTGGGACTTATATTTTAGTGATTCAAATCCATTGGAGAAAAATTATTCACTTTTGGACAAAAGCTATTTTGCATCCAGTCTTGATAGGAATAAAACAAATGACTGCCAAATAATAGTTTTGCAAAGATATTTAAATGTGAACAGTATTGTAAAAGTTGAATAACTTGAAACTTTTTTTTAAGAATAATGATGTCTCTATCATCATTTATCTATTTATTCAAAGTCATGAAACTAATCTCTGTAAACTATTAAAAATGTGTTCTCTTTGGTTACTAGTGTGTACTGGCAATGGAATAAGAGTCAGAGGACACAATCATGATTTAGGTTCACATGGAGAGGTGTAAAAAAAAAAAGAGTACTGTTCTTAGTACCAGTAGACATGGTTGTGAATCTTGTTTCTAGTCTTAAAAGCTTTGTTGTTTGGGGCAACTCATTTAATCTCTCTGATGCTGTTTATTCAGCTGAAAAATAGGAATATGGTAAGTCTGAACCTTAATAGTTATCAGGAATAATAAGAACATATCTTGAGATTATTTACAATAACAGTTAATATAAGCACATAACTATATTATTCTCAACCCTTACAAGATTCTGTAAGATGGGTGGTATTTCCTTAATTTTTTAATGACACAAGGTGGTCTGCCCAATGTAACACAGCTTGTAAAATGCTGCTGTCAGTGTTGGATTACAGATCTGAATATCTCCCAATCCTATGCTTAGGTAAATGTGTGAAAAATGGACTTTAAATCTGTAAAGTACTATATAATACTTTTAAAAAATATGTTTTTATCAATTTTAGAGAGAGAGGAAGGGAGAGGGAGAGAGAGATAGAAATATCGATGAGAGAGAAACATCAACATTAATTGGATGCCTCCTGCATGTCCCCTACTGGGGATTGAGCCCTCAACCTAGACATGTGTCCTGACTGGGAATCAAACCTGTGATCTCCTGTTGCATGGGTTGATGCTCAAATGAGCAACACTGGCTGGGCTACAATACTTGTTTAATATTATAAAATTAATAGAGAAGTGTTGCCCACATGTCGTGTTTTAAGGCACAGTGAAAATCCTACTTAGAGTCTGTGTTCTGGACTCAGAATGTGAGATTCAAATCCTGCTTTGCCATTTATTAAATTTTCTAAGTTTAATGATATAGTGATAGTATATACTTCATAGAGTTGCAAGGATTAAAAGACAACCCATGCAAAACATTTAGTACAGCGTGTAGCACATAGTTAATGCTCAATACACTTTAATTTATAATTGCTTCCACATGGTCTCAATAAACCTATAATGAAGCTGAAGTAAAAATGTTCCATTAAAGACATTTAAGAGGACCTTGTTAAATGCACACATTTACCCAAGATGCATAGTGCATCGTCAGGATTAGGTCACTAGTAGCTGGTGTAAAGAGCAGGGCTTCAAGGAGCCAATTTCCTCATATGTACAATGGAGATAATAATAATGACCCTGAGACCTTCCAGCCTGTGAGGATGAAATGAGAAAATATAACTGAAAATGTTCAAATTCTGTGAGCACAATACAAGTAAACTTACAGTATTGAGATCCCCATGAAATGGTGTTTTGCATCTAATTGGAGATTTAGATTGAATCTTGAGAGTAGGGATTTAGACTCAAACAGAATCAATCAAATGGTGATTATTAATTTCTTTTTCTTCTATATGAAGCGTCACACACAAAATAATAACACTCAATTCAGTTCTCTGTATTAGAGTTAGAAAAGACTGCTGTGGGTGGTTCTTCTAGGTCAGCGGTTCTCAACCTGTGGGTCGCGTCCCCTTTGGCGTTTGAACGACCCTTTCACAGGGGTCGCCTAAGACCAGCCTGCATATCAGATATTTACATTATGATTCATAGCAGTAGCAAATTACAGTTATGAAGTAGCAACAAAAATAATTTTATAGTTGGGTCACAACATGAGGAACTGTATTTAAGGGCCAGAAGGTTGAGAACCACTGTCCTAGGTACCTGGGGAACGTTGTATGGAAGTCTGGACAGAAAACAGCATGTGTTCTTATTAGGATTTGAGTTAAAAGTCAGACAGACTTTGATAACCTGGAATATAAAGTGGTTGCACACAGGAAGATAACTGGGCAGCAAAGGGGTGTTAACAGATTATAAGTGGAAGAAGACTGTCAGGAGGCAATTGGACTGAATTACAGAGGCCTGGCAGTAGGCAAGAAAGACCCCAGAGAATATGTGGGAAGAGCCTAAAGAGAGAGTTCAGCTTTTTCACAATTTTGTTGGTGCACAGTATAAAACAGAGTAATTAAGAAACTAACTTACAATAATTTATAGGGATGTGACAAGAACCTGACCTCCACTTTTCTTCCATGTGCTAGTAATGCAAGAAATTTTCTACAGATGAGCTGTGTTATCTTTAGCTTTAAGATCCTAAAGCTAAAATAACTCAGCTTGTACTTTGAAAGTCAGTTGTACTTTGCTGATTAGAGAACTCTTTAGAATCAGTGAGTTTAACTGAATGCACAAATTATTAAAAGTGATTAAAATTGTATTTCTTTCTGCATTCCTACTTATTCTTCAGAAATGACTTCACAAAGAAATGAGGCTTTTCAAAATTTCTGTGAATATAGAAAGATTTTAATTTGTTGCTAGTTGAGCTTCTGCTCCATAATTCATGTCTGTAGCTAGCTACACGTTAACATAGAGACCCTGGTTTATCCTTCACTTTCTCAACATAATTAATATGCCTCACTTGCATTCTTAGAAATGTCACAATATGGACAATACTATTCTATTTGTAGCACCTTCTATATAGAACATTTAAATTTTAAGATCACCTATATAACCAACTCATAATAACCAACTCTTGTGACTCTTTTATTAACACAATGTAGTAAAAATAGGTAAATATGTGTTTGAAAAGCTGGAATTAAAGTGAACTTTAAGGAATTTCCCTGGTTATTTAGTTACATTAAAATTTATACATAAATATTAAAATAGGTGAGGCTTTAGGAAATGTTTTTAGTTCTTTAGACTTTTAAAAAAGATGTTTTAAAATGAAATGTGACTATAAATTTTCTTTAAGAATACATGTTTTTCCTTTTTTAAAATCAGTGTATTAGACTAGGCCCATGCTCAGTTCAGTGTATAACATTTCCATCAATATCAGAGATGATGAAGTGGGCCAAACTGGAAAGCTCTAGGATTGTAATAATCTTTTAAATAAATATTACAAACTCCCTTGTATTTATTCATTCACTTATTTAACAAATGTGTTTGAGCACCTACTATATACCAGTCACTAACCTAGAGATACAGCAGAAGGACAGCTTAGGGAAGCTCTCTCCCTTCCCATAGTAGGTATTACAGTGGCAG